AGAAATACATCCTGGTAGTGGTGGATTACACTAGTTGCTAGCTCGAGACTGTGCCTCTGTCCTCTATCAAGGCAGACACCGTGATGGCCATTTTCAGCAGGGTGGGGTTCCCCAAGGAGGTCTTCATGGACCAGGGGTCCAACTTCATGTCAGTCCTGCTCCGGTGCTTGTGGGAGAAGTGTGGGGTCCAGCACACCTGGGCCTCAGTGTATCACCCACAGTCCAGCTGGTGGAGGATGCATGGGGGAGCCCAGGGTGCCCTCCCCCTCCCCAAGTTGGATTGTACTAACTGCTTCTGGTGCCTATGCTCACAAGTCTGTTCTCCATGGTGTCCCTGTGAACTAATAAATATTCTGTTCTACCTGCTGGCTGAGTGTCTCATCTGGCTGCGGATGGGGGTGCAGGGCCCGGTGGCTCCCCACACCCTGGTGACACTGAGAAGGCCCCCAGATTTTCAATTAGACACACAACCTACTTTACAAATGAAGCAGCCTCGTACTCTTGGGCTACGTCTAGACTGGCATGATTTTCCGCAAATGCTTTTAACGGAAAACTTTTCCGTTAAAAGCATTTGCGGAAAAGCGCGTCTAGATTGGCACGGACGCTTTTCCGCAAAATCTAGACGCGCTTTTCCACAAAAAAGCCCCTATCACCATTTTCGCGATCGGGGCTTTTTTGCACAAAACAAATCTGAGCTGTCTACACTGGCCCTTTTGCGCAAAAGCTTTACGCAAAAGGACTTTTGCCCGAACGGGAGCCGCATAGTATTTCTGCAAGAAGCACTGATTTCAGACAGTACGAAGTCAGTGTTCTTGCAGAAATTCAAGCGGCCAGTGTAGACAGCTGGCAAGTTTTTCCTCAAAAGCAACTGATTTTGCAGAAAAACTTGCCAGTCTAGAGACAGCCTTGGAGTCAAGGAGTGGGGAGACAATACACCTGTGGATGTGCTAGGACAAGTCTTTACAGGTGACAGCTGAGGGTGATGGGCCTGGCTGAGACAGGTCAGTGAAAGCTGCCACTATACATATGCTTTAAAAGGTAATGGGTTGCTCTCCAAGCTAGAGTCTTGAAGGATTCGAAGTTAAAAACTTACCATCCACTGTTCCTTGCAGAATGTATAGTGCACAGATTTTCGGATTGTCATAGTATCCCTAGAGAAAGGGAAGGCAGAGGTCAGTGCTGCAGGGTCAAAGAAAGGAATACCCTCACCTATCAGAGTCACCTCCTGTCACATTATTGGATTTTAATATGAGCAAGCAGGTCACTGCTGTACCCACTAATGGGTGTTTGGCCCCAAACTCTATACAAAGTGGGCCATATGAGGTGTCAAATGGAAGCATGTACTCTGCTGATTCTATGTATGATACAAATATCATACAAATATAGGAGTTTGTATGTGGAGTTATGGATATGGGCTCTGTTCTTCTATTTTAAAAGTTCTGTCTGGGAGGGAGCAATGGGTCTGGACCGCCTGTTGTGAGGAAGGATTGTTCAGTGAATAGCTGTGCTAACTAGCACTGCTTCATGGACAGTGGACAATACACACATGAGGAATGTAGCTGGGAGTCTGCAAACCAGCCAGTGCCTCATGGCTACTTGCATGTGAAACACAGACAGGTCACTTGATCATGTGACCAGCTCCAGTTTGGGAGACACCAGGAATATACAAGTGCCATGAGGCCGACTCCATCTTTGTCCTCAGTACTGCTGCTGATTCCAGATGCATCCTTGCTAGGGACTAGGGATGCTAAGGACTAGTCGATTCCTCCCCCCCCCCCCCCCCCCCTCCACCCCCCA